AGAGAATAGCTGCGTGATCAGAGAGGAATTGACCGATCGTAGGATTGTTCTTCACGATCGAGTCTGATTGACAAGTGATTATCATATCTAAGGTATGATCAAGGTTGTGAGTAGGTCCAGTTACATGTTGTTCTTAGCCCATGGATTCCAAAGTGTCCAGAAAATCGCCAGCATCTGCATCGCCGTCTACATCGACGCGAAGATCAAAATCGCCGACGATCAGGATTGGTTGCATAGATAAAATAATCGATTCTAAATATAACGTGAAGTCGCTAAGAAAGGAATTGGTGGAGGGCGGGCGGTAAACAATCACTAGTCTCACAACGTATAAGCCAGACTTCACTAAGAGCTCAGAGAATTCGAATGATGAAGATGAGGAATTATTATCTCTTTGTTTAGTCGCAAGCACTGAAATGGAATCCTTATAAAGTAAGGCGACGCCGCCGCCTCTGCGTCCGATACGAGGATAACTCACAAGCTTGTAGCCAGAAGGAATAATCTCAAGCTTTGCAGCAGTGTCGTCTTCCGTTAACCAGGTTTCGGTAAGGGCGAAAAAATCAGCGTTATAGTGACTCACCAATTCCAGAAAGCCTGCAGATTTTGATTTGATGGACCGGACATTGATCAGGCACAACGAAAGTGGCAGTCGTGATAAGGTTTTCGGAAAATAAACTAGGTTCGGATGTTACATTCGTAAGATTGTTGATATTTCTTGATCGAAGAATTGATCGAGACCTTGAAGTACTCACATGCTGTCTGTAATTGCTATTTAAGCAAGGTCCAGGATTAGGATTAATATCTCTGCATAAGGTCAGTCGATTTAGTTGAAACGTAGCTGCGGTGGCCGAATAGTAGATAGTTCTAGTGGCCAGGTATGCTTTCCTCCTTGGTCGATGAACAAGATTGCGGAGATGATAATGATGCAATGCATATATATACTAATCGAAAATACGTTGTGAAATTGCAGTTTGCAGACTACAAACTCTACCATAGTTTACAGCATCGACCAAACTTACATTTATAAACGAATACAAACCGCAAAGT